GCGATATCGGTGGCGATCTAGGGTGGAAAGAAATCGGGGCTTTTATCGGGTAGACCTTACACACGGGCCTGCCTAGCAGTGCGCGTTCGACTTGGAGCGGAATGCATATGCGGTAGAGTTCTTCAAAATACCTCCGACTCTCCTAAAACACCACCGTGTTGGTTCGGCATTAGCCATCTCGGTTAATTTATTCGAAAATAGAAAAAGAGAAGTTGCTGCGTGAAAAAATGGCTCCAAAAGAGATAAAAATTAAGCCACATAAACGTACTAAATGGCCTGTAATCCAAGGACGTGATTAATTTTCTCCGGATGGATGAAGACAGTTTTTGTAACCTTCTAGAAATGATTTCGCCACTTATATAAAAACGTCAATTTCTCCTACCTATGCTATTTAGTTATTTCTTCTCTTTGTTCATTTCTGCTTTGGTCAAAATCTGGTTATGTATTACACACAAAAAACAAGGAAATAAAATACTTTTGTATAATAATATGTATACTTTTTTTTATGTAATCTTTATTTATGGAGTAAAACTATCAGAAAATAAAATAGCTTATATCTTTTTTTTAAACATAAAGAAACCTTTAATTTCGGACATACTCCCTTTTATATAACTTGTTTGTTGATGTGGAGATGGTGAAGGAGTAGAAGTTAGTTGTTGATAAGAGGATGAAGGCACGTAAGAGATCGAAGTGTGGTCTTGTGGAGTTGTAAGAGATATGGGTGCGGTCTTGTGTTGATAGCGTTGGAATAGGAGTTAGTTGTTGAGGAGAGGCTTTATCTTCTCCTTACTTACATCATACACTCTACTTTACGAACGGCAATAAAAAAATTAGTTTAGTAGGTATTATTGACCATGTCACTTCGCAGGGTCTCAGGCTAGGGTGGATATGATTTGAATTTCGATAAAATTTCAATTAATTTATTTATTTTATTCACTTTTTTTTGGTTTTTTGTAAAATATCAGTGCCATAGGCTTCTACTCCGTTTATATGATTAAAATGTAAAAATTTTGTTATATAAAAAAGGTCATTCAGTATCACTGTTTTGTTAACTTCCTTCCGCGAGGGTTGCCGGCAGCGACTGCCTAAAGAAATCGGGCCGATGCGCCTACACACACGCAGTAAGGAGGGGGCGGTGCCCCGATCTAGGAAGCAACGGCTGATCTAGGAAGCATTTTTGCTCCTGCCAGCCGATTAAGGAGGCGATATCGGCCACGACTTAGGATGGCCCTACATACGACACGATTTAGAGGCAATCTAGGAGGCATCCCCACTACTCCACCCTAGATCGCCACCGATATCGTGTCGTATGTAGCCCGCTTTAGTATTGCTCCGGCTTTTGAAGGGAGAAGTTGTGTCGCTTACGATCAGAAAACACATTACGCAACAGTAAGACGTAAAATTAAAATGGGAAATAACCGTTATAAAAATAAGAAGCGACTGGGTTAGCGTTAAGAAACAGGCATAAATATGATAAACCTAATGAAATAAGTATCTAACGACCTATCTACTTAGAGTATTAGTGATTACAAACATGTCGGTACATAGCATACTACGCGCGGGGAAGTGGGGGCGAAATTAGAATTTGAGCTGACTTACTCTCACCTCTTAAGAGGTCGAATGAAATTGAGACATTCAAATCAGACAGCTCAATAACATATTTTACATATATTTTAGTTGACAGTTCTCTTAATGGTAGAGAGGCCATCAAACAGTATTATTTTAATTGCTTGGTAGAAAAAAGAACTGTAGGTTGCTGTTGCCATGTAATGTCATAATATTATGGTACCTAATCTGGGCAAGGTATCAAGATAATTTAATACGGCATGCACCGTTTTTAGACGATATTTTACTTGTTTATGATGAATCGTCCACGATTAATAAATCATTAAAAGAGAAAGTATTTTTAATTCATACTCCCTCTGTTTTTTTTATAATTATTTCAATCCTCTAGAAATTAGTTGGACGGCGGCGTCTGAATCCTCTATGTGTGAATATTGTTGCGTGAATAAGTCAACTAGCGCCATCTAGTGTCAGGAACGAGAGCAAGGGGAGCTTTGCAGAAAATGACATCACAAATCTCTCAACCGACAGCGCCATCCGAAGAACTGTTTCTAGAAAATCTACACTCGCACACTTGTCCCTTCTGCGCGCATTTACTTGAATATTCCGGATGCTTCTTTGCTAATTTAAATAAATAGGCGCTGCAAGATGCGATCGGGGCAGTATGGTATTTGGCGAGACAAGCGAAGCTTCGGAGCGAAATAAAGTGAATTAGTGTGTTTAATTATTAGTGTTTTAAGTTTTAATTTGTGTAAAGTAAATTAAAGTGTTAATTTAGGTAATTTTATCGGCAATTTTTATTGTCACGAACCTCAAGCTCGTAACAATATCCTACAATACTTAAAATTATGGTAAAGTCTAGTTTACAATAAAGTCTAATAATTATTTTCTTCAAGTGTAATATGAGAGATCGCTGTAAGAATAACATTGTAAGCATAACGTAAGCAATAAGATTGTTTTGATATAAACCAATAACATCTTATATGTTTTTTCTACCATGAAGCAGTCGTAAACACATTACATTTTAGTTTTTTTTTAAATGGTATTAGTATATAAATAAAATAATGCAGTAATCGTTGCTGTAACATCAGGCCCAGCTTTCTATGAATTTTCGCCCGTCTCCTTTAAACCTGTCTAATTGGAAAACTGGATAAATGAAAACCTCTTCAAATGGCACAAAATCCTTGGTCCCTTGAGATCCCAATTAACCAGGTTTCACTGTATTTATTCATAAGGATAGATATTTTCTGACCTTCAAGCTTCAAATAGTTATAATAATTAAAATACATACCATAATTTATGGTATGATGTCTATATAACCCAAGCCAATTCGACAATAGCCTTTATTTTTTCATAATTTTTAATAACTTTTAAATAACAGCATTACAACCTACACATAGACGAGTGGCACGGTCTTCCAATGTTTGTTAACTTATTGCACTGTATGCCACGCCTACTGTTTCCTTGAACAAACAAGATTTCCGGCCCCAGGTTATTGCAACATACGAACATCACATGTTTGCTGAAATAATGCTTTAATGACTCATATACAGTTTATTTAATGTTCCACTTTCAGTGTTTACGAAAGAATTCAATAAGTAACCACATAATTTTACCAATTATTTTATTTTGGAAGCTTTCTGGTTCTGTAAAAATACAGCTTTATTCATTACGACCGCAATTATAATCCGAGAGCTTTAGTCCATTTTACAAATTAGGAAAGAAATAAGCTTACGATACTCGGAAATTACATTCAATTACATGAATTGCAATGTATGTGCTCGCTGTAAGTTTCACAGTACGCGTGCTCGGCGGCGAAGGAAAACATCGTGCGGAAACTCTTAATCTTAAAAATGAGAGGAGACCCGTGGCTAGCAGTAGGAGGTAGGCTATAATTTTAACATGAATTTCAATACCTAAAAAATGTTTGTTTACAATGTAGTGTAGTGCTCCCACGTTAATATACTTTAGTGTTAAGGTAAAATAATGAGTCAGTATAATTAAAGATCTAGAACAAACCACACGTCTCTCTTCATTGACACCTTCCGTACATTACATGGATCCTACCAGGATCCTGGCAGGGTTCCCATGAAATATAGGAAAGGTCCAATGAAGAGAGACGTGTTGTTGGTATTATAACTTTAATTATACTGCCTTATTATTCTACCTTAACACTAAAGTATATTAACGTGGGAGCACTACACTACAACAAATATACAATTTCTTTATGGCCTTTTTAAGGGGCTATAGTAACACAGCTCAATATCTAATTTCGCCCCCACTTCCCCGCGCGTCGTATGCTATATACCGACATGTTTGTAATCACTAATACTGTAAGTAGATAGGTCGTTAGACACTTATTTCATTAGGTTTATCATATTTATGTCTGTTTCTTAACGCCAACCCAGTCGCTTCTTACTTTTATTACGGTTATTTCCCATTTTGATTTTACGTCGTCCTGTTGCGTATTGTGTATTCTGATAGTAAGCGACACAACTTTCCCGTTCAAAATCCGAAGCTAGTATGATGTGAAGATGTGATCGGGCGGCAGGAAACAAGCTTCAAGAGGCCGATAGTTTACGTAATTTCTTTTTACGGTGAAAATAATAGTAATTTAAAAAACTTAAGAACATAAGCCCTGCTTTAAAGTTAGTTCAGTTAGTATGCCAAGTTTCATGATCTAATTTAAAGTATTTTATGAATACCAGCGGTTTATTGTTCAGTTTAGAGGTAACTTTGGATTTTTTTTCTATCGAGAAAATTTTACGGAATCGTGTTTTCGTCTAACATAGTACTTAACATTAATCCTCAACTTTACCATATACTTATTTCAAAATTAATGCTGCAATATTTTCGGCATAACGTAGAATCTTGCTAAGCCAGTTGAGGTAGTATTTTTCTATTTCCCCTTAATGTAGTCCATTATAAATCCACTGTTAAACAGGGACTTCCTTCAGACCGCCACAAAACCTTGTCCTTTGTTACTTGCAGGCATCGACTTCGTTTTGCGAAAAACGAGTGGTTTGCAACTCATTTCTACCATTAAAGCCCATCACCAGTCTACTGCTACACATAGCCTTCCCCCATATTACCTCACTGGAAGAGGTTTGCCATAGATGCCACGCTTGGCGTGCGGGATAGAAGCGTAAGTTACGTACTATTGTTATGACGAAGGTGCTGCTGTCTCTCGTATGTCATGTTCTTTTCTTTTCTATGTATTTCATTTCCCTCTGCTGCGTCTAACGTCACCCGTGGGATGATACGGGGCAGTAGATTCGCTAACGCCAGTGGTATATTTATTTAAATATGCAACATGACATAATAAATACGCAATACATTTGTTAATTAGATAAAATAACACGGCGAAAAATAAAAATAAAATAATTAACAGAATAAATAAGAATAAAATAATTAAAAAAATAAACTTAAAAACTCACAAGTGGCTACCATGTAGAAAACTTAAAAAACTTCCGTGGCAACAAACGAGCAGACTACTCCAAATCCTGTAAAAAATTATCTTACGTTAATTAAAAGATAAGAAACGAATGTTATAACACACAGTCTATTTATATGATTAAAAAATGTACTTTTATTGTTATTGTGTAACTAAAATAGTCAGTAACAGTAACCGGTTACGTACTTAATACAAATGCATTACGTAGTATTATTATTTGTTCTGTGACGCAAAACACTAAAGTATTTTTTGCTTTCCATTACCATTAGACTACAATTAATCCAACAATATTAAATAGACAATAGACAAATAAATATAAACTCTTTGTATGTACAATAGACGAAGCTTAGTGTTTTTAATACATCAAGAATAGAGTTATATTAAATTCCCTTATTCATAAAAGTCGCCTGAATTCTGTTCATAACATTCCATGACAATAGCATTCAGTAATATTGCCAAATATAATAAAATTAGTAATATTGCTAAATTGTGAGGAATGTGCATTTTAAAAAAAAATAGGCTGACAAACGAGCACACAGTCCACCTAATGCTTAGTGAGTGTTGTGGCCCGTAGACATCTACATTTATCCTCGATTAACAATTAAAATGCAGATGCGTTGTCACCCCTGAGGACCAAAATTGAATGCCTCGTTTCTACTTAAAAGGTCTCCGATTCTCTACACACACCATAGGAAATATTTTAAGCTGGTAATAGCACGCATAGGAGCGCATCCCTTCCACAAAACCCGCTCAATAAAGAGAGCAGGCTTGTGCCAGTGCTGTGCTGTGGCCAATGCTTGGTTATGGTACGGTACTTTAATATAATTTATTTCCGAATCTAATAGAAGTTTTCATAATTTAAATTTTACATTAAACAATAATCATGAGGTGTCCACTGAAGTGTCATTTTTTTGTTAAACACATGATGTTCTACAAAATATTAAGAATGTTGCATAGTGCAGGATTTTTTAAGAAATTACAAGTGCTATTGCTGGACCTTTGAATGTTAAAGTTAAAAGCTAGTTAAAGTTACAGCCTATATACATCCCACTGCTGGGCTCAGGCCTCCCTCCTTTTTCCCTTTCTGACAGGGTTTAGGGCAAGGAAATGTCCGCCGCGCTGCCCAAATGCGTGTTGACGAACTTCACATGTCTTCGAAATATTTTTTTTCTTATTCCTCAGACATGCAGGTTTCCTCACGATGTTTTCCTTCACCGCCGAGCACGTGGTAAATCAGCACTTAAAATTGCAATTAACAATTTCATTGGTGCCGGGGGGATCGAACCCGGGTTACTCACGTTCTGTTATATTTACAGCGAGCGTTAACCATCTGAGCTACCACGGCTCATTTGTATGTCCTACACCTTATTTTTGTTTTACATTTTATAACTCAAATTATTAAAAAAAACTTATTTTTAAATTTTTGCTTTGAAAAGCTTATAATTCATATTAAAAATGACTTAAACCCACACGATGATCTGATTTTTTTTTGTCAACTTGTCTCTTTATTATACTATATAACCATAAAATTTAGTTACACAAAAATATATTATATTATTTAAGGGTTAAAGGTTAAAGGGTTAGTTTGGGGTATCATATAAAATTTTAAACATCTACGCAAAAACTTTTAGAGAAAAACATCTGTGAAAAACAGCCACTGAGGTGACCAATAAGTTTTCTGTTTCATTTAATTCGCACGGAATGCTAATAAAAAATTCAACTTTTGTTAAAAGTTAAATTGAAATATTTTTGCCTATTTTAGTACAATTTTAGTTATAAAATACATTTTAGCCTGTTTAGGGTTCTGACCGGAAAGTACCCAATAAAAACATCAAAAGATTTCATACCTTTCAGAGATTTGCACGTGGCTATTGCTCATGTTTACGAGATACCTTTTACAAAAACGCTACATCCCTGGATATCAGGGGCTTAAAGCGAGCTTAAGCGGAAATTTCCTCGGCTATAAAGCTCAAACGATATTACCGGGACTCAATGTTTGAGTTGTTATGTACCGACTACCGACTAAGTTAAAACAGTCTCGTCTTGTCGTCTTTGCATGTTTTAAAACGTCTTCCGATTCAATATAATTTTCTTTAAAACGGAATTTTTCAATTTCTCTATCGAAATAGCGTATGAGAGAGATGAAAATAATAAATAAATAAATTAAATATTTTTGTCTTCCTTTGCATTACAAGCGCCATGGTAGCTCAGGAACAGTAGTTCATAGTACGCAAACATATTGAGTTTGATCAATAGGGTTATTGCTTCACCACTTTCTGGGTGGTAAAGAATATCTGCGTGTCTGAAAAATAAAAAAAATCGAAGCCATGTGCAGGTCACCAACAAGCACTGTGGCATCGCGATGGACTACATATAGTTATACAGTATTATATTACCTAATACGTGGCTTGTGACGTATATAAACTGTTATTTAATTTTTCTAGACTACTATACTTTCTGTTTAGACTGCCTCATTGGTCTAGTGGTCATAAACGCGATTGCTGATAACAAGGTCCCGGCTTCGAATCCCGGGTCGGGCCAAAATCAGTAATTGGGTTTTTCTATCAAGAAATTCACAGTAGTAGGGGCCGGATTCTGTGTAGGTTACCATTCCATCGGACTATGAGAGCGAGGGAATAGAGTCCACCTGTGCTTGTACATACACTTGGACACTATAATCCTGTCCTGCGCAGTTATTTTAGCTGAATTTTTGTTATTTATCACAGTTACAATCATTACAGCCACAACAGGTCCACTGCTGAGGATAGGTCTTCCCCAAGGAATTTTACAAAATACGGTACTGAGTCACCTGCATCAATCCACCTCTTGCATGTAATACCAGATCGTCAGGCTATTTTACTTTCTATTCTAACGACACATATACCTCATAACTGGAAAAGCTCACGTATAAATAGTAAAGTTATTGTAAATTAAGATATAGGAGACATAAAATTACCATATCATATACATACATAACTTAGAAGTGGTATATTCTCGTACGTATCTCGTATATAGGCCAGAAAATATTAGTTCCAATATAGAACCACTTCCTTTCCTTATTCATTATTATTTCGTCCTCGAATGCGAGAATAGATTCCCGTTATAGAAGCGGAAATACAATTAATTTGTATGGTTTTATGTGTAATATAATAAAAGAATATTAGGCTTTATAGTTATAAGGATATTATCTGCGAACATATTCTTAATTATTTATCTGTCTCGACTCGACAGCTCATTAACCCCCCTATGATTTCAAAACACACATTAATAACTAACTAAATTCCGCCAATCTATCCTATTTTGGGTGAAGTTACAGACAAATAGGGAAATATCAGAATGTTCTTTAAAGCTTATGACAAATAAAGGTATTTCATCTACGTCAGACGCAAAATTCTCAGATTGAAGACGTTTAGAAAGCAGTGTAATTTTAAGGGTGGATGAAAAAGCACGGGTTGCAAATTTTAATAGGTTCTTGCAAAAAATATCACATAATTTGAACATTTTGCTACTAACTACATTAGCCTCTGCTGTCGAAACAACCTAATCTTTTGAAAAACAAATGAGTCAATTTCTGATGATAAATCTACAGCCAATGCGTGAAGTGCTGATTAAGTTAGAATAGAAAATTGTTAGTAACCTAATCAATATATATCTTAATGTATATAAATTACGTGTCACGATGTTTGTCCGCGATAGACTCCTAGGCTACTTAATGTTTTTCATTTATTTGGTTGTACACAAATTGGAGATAAGAGAGTTTTGTTGAGTGACCCACATTTTTTTGCGAATTTAAGGATTTTTAATAGAACATGACAAAGGGTCGTCAAAAAGGGCAGAACAACGTCTGCCTGGCAAGCTAGTATTATATATATATATATATATATATATATATATATATATATATATATATATATATATATATATATATTTTACTAGTTTTAACTTATTCGTATAAATCGTATTAATATTGAACTTTTGAGACTAAATCAGGAACTAAATATCATTTAGTACTTGATTTAGTCGCATTTAAAAAATTATAAATTGTATAGTGATATAGTATAGTTATATATTATACTAAAAGTAATAATTAATAATTAAGTTCACTTGCGGCCGCCCAGCCCACGTCAAATTCCTTGCGATTTACGATCGACCTAGTAACACGGTACCTGTTTTACGCAAAAAAGTTACACCAAGCACATAAAAAGTTCGGGTTTTTTTTATGTGCTTGGTGTAACTTCGTATTAGTAATTATTCACTTTTAAGCATGACTGTTCAGAGCTTTATATAGTGAATTTAAATTCGGTCAAATGCTTATGTTGCTCTTAGTCTCTAATTTTTTTTCCTTGCGACGTATTTAATCTGCAACCGTGTCAAGTGGTCGTTATAAATTGGCTATAATATTGATTTGTAGAAATAATAATACGACGTGCAAATAACACTACTTTAACACTGCTACCAATTTTGCTTTGTATGTTATTTTACCTTGCCTCCATTGTAGGAGAACCCGCGTGTTAATTTATTACCACTGAAACGAATGCAGTACGAAGTACCTACTTACCTCCTCTCTTTTACATATTATTCGCCTATGAGCTTAATTGCAAAATAACTTCTTGTTTTGTATATTTTTCATTCAAGTTTTTTTTTTCAAAATAATAAGTAGCAGAATTGGTAGCAGTATTGGCACGTGGTAGCTCAGATGGTTAGCGCTCGCTGTAAATTTCACAGTACGCTAGCAAACCGGGTTCGATCCCCGCCGGCACCAATGAAATTGTTAATTTGCAATTTTAAGTGCTGATTTACCACGTGCTCGGCGGTGAAGGAAAACATCGTGAGGAAACCTGCATGTCTGAGGAATAAGATAAAAATATTTCGAAGACATGTGAAGTTCGCCAACACGCATTGGGGCAGCGCGGCGGACACTTCCTTGTCCTAAAACCCTCTCAGAAATGAGAGGAGGCTTGTGCCCAGCAGTGGGACGTATATAGGCTGTAACTTT